CTACTTTCTCAGTCTGTTATTATAAATTAAGATATAAATCAGAAAAACTTGCAGAAATTATTTTTCATTTACTTCATTGAAACGTCGCAATCTTCATTGAACAGGTCACGGAAACGGGACGTCGATTGAAAGCGCTTCTCGAAACGGAGTGTATACCAGCAATGACACAACGATCCGAGTGCGTCGCCGATTGGTACAAAATGGCACAAACGGTGTTCTTGCAGACTCAGATATTGGACAAGGACATAGACAGTTATGAACGTGTGCTGGAATCATTTTCCTATCGTTTATCGCAGGAGAGTAAGGAGCGCAATGAAAATCTATTGCATTCGTTAGACAGGCTTCCCGGCAAATCGAAAACAATCGAAAAAACGAGTGTGCCAGTGCAGGAGAGCACGAAGAAATGGCGCAACATCTGTGACACGCAAGAACAAATCACGATGCTTCTTTATGAAAACGGTCTGCTTGTAGACCAGCTTGATCATTTATCAGCGATTGATAGGCTGGATGACATAGGCGATACGGGATATGAACTTTAGTACGCATCACTATCGTTTTCTTATTAACGTTTTTTATAATCAGACAATGACTGTGTTGCGACATACATTGTAAAAAAAAAGTATTGAAAATCTATTCTCTAAATTCTTTGGAGTGAATCTCATTCTAAAGAATGAAAATTAAGTTAGTTTTAATAAAGAATAATTCATTCACTATTTTCAATTTTTAAGAGAGAGATTCATTCTGAAAGTTTTAGAGAGAGAGTAGAGTTCATGTTATGTACACTATAAATCTTCAGTACTGGTATATCGGAACATATGGCCAATACCTATGAGATAAAGACTGAAACTTAAAATGTATATATATTAGAAACTCGATATATCTAATGTAATTATTAGTGTATATATTGTTAAGGTAAACGTTAAATGAATTCGTATTCGTATTGTCTTTGGCTAAATGACTATATATTATTTTATTTAATATATCAACCATTTGTCTCTAACAAGTTCGATTTTGTTTGAAACGATTTTGTTTCAATAAATAATTATATTTTTATACAATAAAACTAAACACAAGTTTTACATATAATTAGCAGCAAAAAGTTTAGCAAATCAGGAATGTCTCTTTTCTTTTATATATGTTATAAAAATCGGTGCGTACGAATTTTTGCATATGAAAAAACGAACGCGTGATTCATACATCTACATGACTATTTCTTTCGACTAAAGAATTCAGTCTTTGTTTGCGCTTCTGTTCCCTGTGGTGTTCCTGTACTACATGGAAATGTTTCAACAGCTTGTTGAAATCGAACGGGCAATCAACGTCTATTTCCTCCTGTTCGCTTTTAGGTATCAGCTTTGTAGCTGGAGGTATCGCTGCTAAACGACGTTGCAAAGTAGCGTAGGCATCACTCTGCGGCAGGATCATGAGCAAGCCATATAACGCGTATATCAAAGCATCATTTTTCTCCCATTCCAATAGCTGCAGTCTCAGATCTTAAACAAGAAAAAAAAGAAAAGAAATACAACTCGCTTTCAATGTTTTCATTAGCAACATGATATTGTATACTGACAAGTAAATATTGGTGATTCTATTAACTGTACCAATTTATCTATCTCTGTTAGGAACTCTACT